AAAATCAATAAAATATATATTTTTAAAAAAATAGAGGGAGGAAAATGAATAGGAGATATGAAATAAATTGTTATATCTTCAACCAAACTCCCATGAAACTTTTGGTTTATGCTTTCATAGCATTTAGCTCATTCAAGCATACCAAAATTCTCAACATTTTCCTTCTTAATGCTTCCAAAATTGTATATCTAGTTATATATCTTTTCACACTAAACTATATAACTACCTGTTTCTGTCTGTCTTCTCTCCAAGCTGTGAATTTGTAAAAGCCAAAAAACTTTCACTGTTTATTTCTAATAGCTAACAAAATTCCTAGCTTATCATGGTTGATTGTTACTGAATGAAGACATAAGTAAGCACAGGCAAGAATAAAAATAATCGTTTAGATATGATTCCTTTTTCTTATACATAAATTTGAAGAATAAAATAAATTTTTTAGGTAGAACAAGGGAAATAGGGTGTCTAGGTTGTCCGTCCAGGTGGCTTCTGCTATTAAGGAGTAAGAAAATGTTTTAGCCCCCTCCCCAAATTATTTCCTAACATTGCTAAAATTGGGTATTCATGAATACTGTACATTTTAATAATCACTGAAATTCAATTTGCCTCCTCCATTCACCAATAATCACTATTTATCCCAAATTCTACTGCGTTATAGTATTAACTTTACACACACATACATATAAACACAGACCAAAAAAAAGACAATATGAGAGTGGAGTAGATACTTTGTGGGGGTTTTTTATTTTGTTTTATTTATTTTATTTTTTTTTTCCTTGCTTTTGTTTTCTTCTTCTTCTTCTTCTTCCTTTTTTTTTATTTTTTTATTTTTAGTAAACACTGGAATAAAACTTTTCCCATTGATTTTTTTTTTTAGAGAAAATGGGGATGGGGTGGGGGGGGAGAGAAACATCAATGTTGTGTCTCTCCCATGAACAAGGGATCGAGCCTGCAACTGAGGTACCTGCCCTTGACAAGAATCTAACCCATGACCCTTCAGTCTGCAGGCAGACGCCCTTACTACTGAACCAAACCAGCCAGGTTTCTGATTTCTGATTTCAAATATCTGATTTCAAATCTTCACCCTAATGCTAACTAGATGTGTAACCTTGGACAAGTTACATAAACTGAGCCTTAGTTACTCAAGCTGTAAAATGGTGATTAACACCAACATTATAGGGTTGTTATAAGGAATATATATATATATATATATATATATTCCTTTAATAAATAGTATCTGTGTTCCAAAACAACATATATATTGTTTATATATGGTAATATATATATTGTTTTGGAACACAGATACTATTTATTAAAGGTTTACTATGATCTATTTTTTATTATTACCAACTTGTTACAAATCTCCAACTGAATAATCTTTATTGGGATAAAAAATCTTGTTTCAAAAAATTTAAAAATTGGCCACATTGACAACAATCCTAAACATTTCTCCCCTGAAAAGAGAGCTTTATTAACAACAAACCTCACCAAATAAACTTAATTAAATTTTCTGATAAAAATGTCAATTTACTCAAGGGTCATTAAAAGATGGATCTGATGAGTCTGAAAGCATTCAGCGCACATTACTACCTGAGCTCTTCCTTTGATATATTAATTCAAATGGACTTAAATTATATATATGCCACCAGACAAAAAGTTTAATAAGCATTAGTTAAGAACTAAACAGTCTAATGATTAACATTCAGCTTTTATAAAAGCAGGTGCATATTGCAGAAAATAGTGTTTTGAACACAATTTTATCCTAATGAAAAAGTCATTGGCCTTAGATAGAATATAAAAACTAAATGGAGAGATCACAGATATAGTACTGTCATCAAAAGTTTTATTCAAGTTATAGTCTGTACAAAGAAAAATTTCCAATTTTATAATCATGTTAAAAATGGTGACATACTTTCACTTAACCAAACTAGTTGAAAAGATTCTAAGCTTAAATTATTTGCTATAACCCTGGCTGGCATGACACAGTGGTTAGAGCGTCAGTCACATATCAAAGGATCATGGGTTCAATTCCGGTCAAGAACATGTACCTGAGTTGCAGGTTTGATCCCCACCCCACCTCCTTGGGGTGCATTCAGGAGGCAACCAATCGATGTCTCTCTCACATCAATGTCTCTCTCTCTCTCTCTCTCTCTCCTTCACCCTCCATCCTTCCCTTCCCCTCCATTCCTCTCTCTCTCTCAAAAAAAAAAAAAAAAAAAAAAAAAAATCAATGAGAAAAAATAACCTCAGGTGAGGATTAATAACAAAAAATATCTGCTATAATTTTAATGTCTTTTTAAAAACTGTTTAGAATAACAAAGCAATATTTTATTTAAATGTGTATTAGAAATGAAGCATCATATTGATTTATATTAGAATAGAGGCTCTCTGGCCAAGGTTTGTGGCAGAAGGGAACCCTAATCTCCAGAGGCATTTTAGTTGTTTCCTCTGATGTTATTATAAAAGGTAGGCACACATATCCGCGTACCCTAGTCTTCCATAAGAATGCATTTATTGCTTATTAATTCTGCTAATCCTTTTAAAACTGAACTATGCATTTTTGCCTGGACTTTACATTTTAGACTTTAATATCTAGGATAATAAATTTTGCAAATTCACTACCCACTCCTGACAGCATAAAACTAGTAAAAGGGTGGGCAGATCTGTGGAATAGAATTATGAGTCCAGAAATTATCCCCTTACATTGACTATCAATGGTTTTCAATAAGACTCTTGCTAGGTAGCTCAGCTGGTTAGAGCGTCATCCTGATACACCAAGGTTCTGTAACCTTGTTCTGTAACCCCCTTGTTCTGTAACTTACTTATGCATTCAGTGCTTGGTTCCATCCCTGGTCAGGGCACATATAAGGACCAACCACTGAATGCATAAGTAGAACAACAAATTGAAGTCTTTGTCTCCCTTGCTCTCTCCCTAAAAAAATGAGTAGATAAAAATTTGATGCATGTGTTTTAATAAGAGTACCAAGAATATTCAATAACTAGAGGCCCGGTGCATGGGGGGGCGGGGAGAGGGTGTCCCCTCAGCCCAGCCTGTACCCTCTCCAATTTGGGACCCCTTAAGGGATGTCTGTCTGCTCATTTAGGCCCATTTTCCAGACTGCTAGCTCCCCTCTCCCCTGCCTGATTGCCCCTAACTGCTTCTGCCTACTAGGCTGATCTCCCCTAACCACTCCCCTGCCAGCCTGCTCAATGCCTAACTGCTCCCATGCCAGCCCAATTGCCCCCAACTGCCCTCCTCTGCTGCCTGATTACCCCTAACTGCCCTCCCCTGCAGGCCTGCTCCACCCAACTGCCTTCCCCTGCAGACCTGGTGTCCACCCCCCCTCAACTGTCCTCTCCTGCAGGCCTGGCCTCCCCCAACTCCCCTCCTCTGCAAGCCCGGTCACCCCTAACTGCCCTCCCCTGCTGGCCTGATCACCTACAACTGCCCTCCCCTGCTGGTCTGGTCCCTCCCAACTGCCCTCCCTTGCTGGCCTGGTCTCCCCCAACTGCTCTCCTCTGCTGGCCCAGTAACTCCTATCTCTCCTCCCCTATAGGCCATCTTGTAGTGGCTATCTTGTGTCCACATGGAGGCAGCCATCATTGACCACATAGGGGTGGCCATCTTGTGTGTTGGAGTGTTGGTCAATTTGTATATTATGCATATTACTACTAATAATTGTATTAGATAGAATGAGTAAAGAATACCATTTCAACAAATGGTGCTGTGACAACTGAATATCTATGTGCCAGAGAAAGTAAAGTTAGCTCCTGACCTCACACCATATATAAACTCAAAATGGATCAGAGGTCTTTAGCCCAGCCAGCATGGCTCAGTGGTTGAACATAGACCTATGAATCAGGAGGTGGAGATTTGATTCCCTGGTCAGGGCACATGCCCAGGTTGCAGGCTCAGCCCCCAGTAGGGGGGTGTGCAGGAGGTAGCCGATCATGATTCTCTCATCATTGATGTTTCTCTCTCTCTCTCTCCCCGTCTCCCTGCCTCTCTGAAATCAATAAAAAGAAAAAAAAAATTGTAAATAGTGGGCCTTGCTCCAGCTGGTTTGGCTCAGTGGATAGAGCATCAGGGGACTAAATGATCCCAGGTTCGATTCTGGTTAAGGGCACATGACTGGGTTGCGGTCTCAATCCCCAATAGGGGGCGTGTCAGGAGGCAACTGGTCAATGATTCTCCATCATTGATGTTTCTCTCTCTCCCCCTCTCCCTTCCTCCCTGAAATGAATAAAAATATATTTTAAAAAAGAGTGGGTCTTTATATGACGTTTAGTTCCTAAAGGCATACTAATTTCCATACTGGGTCAGAGCTGTGGTCTAGCCAACTGAGAACTTGATCTCTGAAAGCAGTACCAAGAAATATGTGTAAGAAGACAGTTTTCCTCCCAGATGTTAAGTTAAACAAACATTTAGAGATGTGCTCCAAAACACCTTACTCTCCTTCAATAATCTGAGTCCATCATACTTGAAATCATGTTTTAGAATCATTTGTTTCAATGCTATACCAGAGTCATTTTCCATGCTATCTGTTATAATTAGTATTTTACATAAGCATATAAGTATTACATAAGTACTAACATACAGGCATATACAAGAATATAAGTAGTTTGGTTATACATTTTTTTTCCAATTTAAACTCCTTTAAGGTTTCAATAGGTTTCCTAATTCTAATAAAGGCTGGTAACAGCCTAATCACATCCTTCATGATTTCACAGAGTTCAGTTCCTATTCCTTTCCGTCTTTGTCTTTCTAGACTGAAGAAATTTCATCTTTCTATTGTGTCCTTATAAGAGAGAAATGATGCTTTAATCTGTACAATTTTAATTTTCTTAATTTTGTTATCTTATAGGCTCCAAACTGAAACAACAATGCAGGAAGATCTATGAAATTTACTTTTATAGAAGTCAAGAAATTTTCATCTCTGATGTAAGTTAGGAAAGACAGCCTTCAAAAATACTTTTGAGAATCACTGTACCCCAAGACTTACAGGAAATCATAAGGTAGTCCTCACAGTTGTTCTTGTCATCATCTTGCTGGTCCACGGGGATCCCATTGGCATCAATGACTGCTTCCGAGGCACAATCTGCTACCAACACTTCTTCTGAAACTACATCTGTTGTCAGAGGATCAGTGACAATTTCTGCCTCAACTACACTATCATGAACCACATGTTCAACGTGTCCAACGTCAGACACATGTATGGATTCACTTGTCAAGACGTGTTCTGGTATAGACATTGATGAAGTGATATCGGAAGCTAAAACATCATCTGGGACTGTGCAATGGTCTAAAGAAACTTCTTCAGTTACATCTGAGTCCAGCACTTGCTCAGGAATGATGACCGTTTCAGATACATCTGATTCTTCCATGATATCTGGGCACTGAACATCTTCTATAACAACGTCCTCGATAACATCTTGGATTACAACTGAGTCTGGGTCATCGGGAACAAAGTTATGCACAGTTATGTCTGAATCCACAACATCTGAAACAAAAACGGTTTCTTGAACTTCCACAACAATTTGATCACCATCCATGTGTGCAGCATCAGTTCCTTAAAAAAAAATAAAAATTTAAAAGCACAATTTCAGGTAGGCATGTATGACTACCTCAGCTAATGTAAATGTTATTTAATTCCTACCAGGAAAACAGGCTAGCTCCTCAGTTTTCTCAAACATTCAGATAGATTAAAAAAATTAAAAGGGAATCTATTTTTGAATATCAGAAATAAAAATTTTTAATATAAGAACTCTTATACTCATCCCACATCAATTGATAAGAAAATAAAAAAAATCAAGCAATTGAGGCAGTCACAAAATAAAAATGTGCATGAAAGCAAAATTCTAGGCTAACTAAAATTAAATCTATATGCATAGATACTAAAGGGATGATTATTAAAATTAATAAGTAAAGCAACTTCAGGTTGCAAATATACCATTTTCCTTTATTATATGTGTTTTTCATCTTCCATCTTGCTCCATCTCTCCCATGTATTTCTTTTATTTCCCTTCCATTTTTCTCCTTTCCCCCCTTTGTTCTGATATAATATCTCATCAATATCCTGTATTTATGATGATGAAAACTTTGACATCCTCTGAATCTAAGATATGAGAGGACTGGGGCATAAATAAAAGAGGGCTAGGGCGGGGGCTGGGTGGAGGGGGGCAAAAAGTGAGTAAAATGAGGGACATCTGTAATAGTGTCAACAATGGGGTGGGGAAAGACAGCTACAAGGCCACAGCTACAGGAAAGGCAACTAGTTAAGGATCCTCTGTGAGTAGATAAGATGAATAAAAGTGCAACTTCTCTGGAGCAGCAGCAGCAGAGGGTGAGGTTTGTTGGAGCGGGTACTCTGCCTCCAACTTTACCAGGGTACTCTGCCTCCATCCAGCCTCCTTGCATAGCCCCATGCCCTAATGCCCCAGGCAGTTTCTCAGAGTATAAGAAACACTACTCTAGTCCACTCTGCAGTTAAGAATAAAGGTATAGGGATGAATCAATTAAAGCCCAGTGAGATTAAATGACTTCACCAAGATCACACCGTTTGTACAGATTATGGTGCTCAGTAAATATTACTTCGAATAAATGTCACAAATGGGACTCCAAATCAGATATCCTTGTCAAAACACATAACATAAAATAAAACAAATCTGGTATCTTGGCTCCTGGTCCAGAGAAAAGCAAATGAGGTTTCATAAAAATCTTAGATAAAAAGCAATTAATTTAATTAGTGATTCTGGATGTGACTCAGATCAGGCTGAATCCAAGCAGCTGCCTAACTCAATGACTGTATCGCTGGCCAGGCCCTCAGAGACGCATGGTTTTGTTTAACAAACACAAGTAATCAACAAAGGCCAAAGAACCTTTAAAAACTTGGGAAATCTTGAAGCCAATTAATAGCTATTTTAATTACATCTATAAGTAATAAAAAATGCTTGCTTTATTTTCTATAGAACTTCTACTAAGTGCTTTTATACTCCTTTGTTTTCAATATACTAATATGAACATCAAGCAATAGATCACTATAACCTCCATTTTGCAGATATAAAGATGAGAGCATTTAGTGGCAAGAGCAATAGCTAAAAAATCTAAACCAGAGAACAGGGTATGGACACTTATTAGTTTTGTGACCTTGGGCAAGTCATTTAACCTCTGAGTTTCGGTTTCCTCATCAGTAAAATGAGGATAGTAGTATCTGCCATGCATACCTCACAGGACTGTTGTGATGATCAAATGGGAAATGTATGGGAAGTATTCTGAAAAACTGTAATGAGAGGTTTCATTATTATTAGGACAAAGGAAAATGGAGGCCCTGGCAGATTAAGTGACTTGCTCAAAGATAAACAAACACCATAAGTGTTAAGAACCAGGGCTAAAATGAAGTAGCCCTTCAATCTACCGCTTAGCCCATGATCCAGGATTGCTCATGACAAGATTGAGCTAGCAAATACCGTACATTTTTCCTCAAAGAGCTTCTTTCTCTTTCAAGCACGTTAATTATACATGTTCTAATAAAAGAATTATAACTGCATTTATTACTATCAAACTAAAATGACCAAACTTTAGTCAAAGACTATTCCAAATTATTAAGAAAAATAAACATACCCCTCCAACACATACACACACTGGATTTGGAGATTAAAGAAGTTAAAATTAAAAACCATAAATATTGAATTTCCTGATATAGTTAATATCTACTTCTTTAATATTCTGCAATATGATCATTTTAAGTCCAATGGAAAACTCATTAATATTTTATTTATAAGGGTAGCTAGCTAGTGTGATATAAAACCACCTTATGTCATAAAACCTAGTGTAATCACTTTACGATGTCATATAATTAGAATGATGGATAACCTAAAATTATGAATAATTTTTTCCTATTTTTAAAATGTCATGAATTTAATTTTACTTGTGTAGTTTGGAGAGTGGGGTAAGACTGACTCCCTGAAGCAAAAGGCTCCTCTTCTCAACCTGTGAAAGATAGGGTTGTAAAAGTAGGATGGGGTAAGAATGTGGAGGGCCTGAGGTTTATAATTTAACTGCTGAGTAATGGAAAACAAAGCAATTACATGATCCATGTGTTATTTTATGATGAGTACTCTGGCTGGGGAACTATATAAAAGAGACTAAGCCCCTAGCCGGTATGTGGCTCAGTTGGTTGAGCGTCATCCTGGGCACCAAAAGGTTGCCAGTTCACCCTGGTCTGTGTCGCTTAGTAGTTAGAGTGTCAAAGGGTCTCAGGTTCGATTCCCAGTCAAAGGCACATGCCTGAGTTGCATGTTTGCTCCCTGGTTGGGCCATATGTGAGAGGCAACCAGTCGATGTGGCTCTCCCACAATGATGTCTCACTCTCCCTCCCTCTCTCTTTAAAAGCATAACTTCCAAGTTATTGCAGACTAGGAATGAGATGATAAAGCCTGTCTATGTGGTGGGAAGTAAATATCAGCAACATTTTCAAAGAGAGAACCAACAGGAATTAGTACTCTAACTGGGCAAGATGAGAGTGACTGAGGTTTTGATACTACTGCTGTTACTGACAAAAATATAAGAGTTGGTTGTAGGGAGCCAAATTTTTTTTTTTCCCTTCTCTGGATCGTTCCAATTTTAGTACATGTGCTGCCGAAGCGAGCACAGGGAGCCAAATTTTTAAGGAGGAGAATAATGTGCTCACTTTAATATTTGTAGACTTGACACAAGATACCTAAGTGTGAATATCAATATGAGAGTCTAGCAATTTGTCCACTCGATAACCAACTCCAAATCTGGTAGCTGGAAAATTGAGCAACCCAAGTAGTTATACCTGTTGTAGCAAAAAATGAGTTTGGCCCTTGTGGTTGTAATTCAAGTCCATCTTCATCCATGGCCTTTAATTTTCATCAGTCACAGCTCCTAAATTAGGGAAGAAAGTAAGCCAAGTATTACTTTTATTGTATCATGTATTTAAAATGCACCATGATATTTATATTTCTGAAACACTCAAAAGTATATCACAGATGAACATCTATCAAAAACTTATCTACTTAGCCCTGGACGATTCTGCACAGCGGTTAAGAGTGTTGGCCCTTGGACCAAAGGGTTGTGGGTTTGATTCCTGATCAAAGGAACATATCTGAGTTGAAGGTTCAATCCTTAGCTCCTGGTCAGGGGCACATAGGAGGCAACCAATCAATGAGTCTCTCTCACATCAATGTTTTATGTGTGTGTCCCCTATTTCCCCCATTTCCCCTCCCCCCCCCGCCCCCCCCCCGTCCCTTCACATCTCCTCCTGTCCACTCTCTCCTAGGGAAGGATTTAAAAAAATAAAACAAAACACACATCTATCTAAAATAAAAGGTAACTTAATTGATTTCCAATGATAATAGGCATCTATAAGACAAGGAAAGGAAGAGAAATCAAACAAGTCAACTTTGCCTAGACTTTTTGCTTGAGATACTGCTAGCATACATCAAGTGCACACATTTTGATTAATTTTGACACATGCTTTTAAAACTGTTAATCACTATACTACCCCGATCAAGATACAGAACATTTCCAGCACCCCAGCACTTGCCTCCTCTCAGTCCATACACCCCACACTCCCACAAGGGTAACTAGTTTCATTAAGGTTCAACTTAAACACACTCTGTTCCTTACTGGGGGAAATGTCTGCACAATTTTCATGTTACTTATCTAAATTTAATGTAGTCTGCTTTCAACCAATACATAAAAGATCAATAAAAACTCCAAGTGCATGATTATAGCAAACGCCATTTGGGATTTCTGCCTAACTTACAATGACATCTCTTAACTAACCTTCTGAATTAGAGAAGTAAATTCCCACAGTGTACTTCTATTCCCCTGGCCATGTAGTTGATTGACACTGGCTATAAAATGATAAAAATAAGTTCATCTTTGAGCACAATAAAATCAAAGTCCTGTCCCTGAGAACTAAAACCATGAGCAAGGGTCACTTGGTCTCTTTCCTGGTAGCTATTACATAGGCCCTTTTCCAACTTCGGCTTAGACTAGTGAGATGAAGTTTACAAATGAAAAAGAATCCAGTGAATACCCTCAGAAACAGAGTAGAGGGAACAGGTAAGGGAGGCTTACCAGTATTTTTTTTTTTTAGCTCCTGGCTCTAGAACTTTCTGAGGTCCAGCTAGCTACAGAACCTTGTCTGCCTTGAGTCTGGGCAAGACATCCCAATGATCTCAATGCTCCTTTTCTATTTAAGCCTCAACTTATAATCCATAAAATAATATACTACTTGATACTGATGACTGTTTCAAAAGGGCAGACATCAAAGATTGTGGTTTACTCATATTGTAAGTATTGCATAAACCTCTTTCCTTTCATTGGTTTCCTTATCTCTACATTTTTCACTTTCTAATCCAACCTAAATGGTACTATTAGACACATCTTTCTGTTACCTTTATCATTTGTTGTTGATAACATAAGCTCTGCACACTTATTAAAATTTCAAATGACAGGAGTCATTTTTATAATGTGCATTAGCTAGGTGATGTCATTCCTGTTTTAAAAAAAAAATGTTTAGCCGAAACCGGTTTGGCTCAGTGGTAGAGCGTCGGTCTGCGGACTGAAGGGTCCCGGGTTCGATTCCCATCAAGGACATGTACATTGGTTGCGGGCACATCTCCGGTAGGGGGTGTGCAGGAGGCAGCTGGTCAATGTTTCTCTCTCATCCTCTCTATTCCTCTCTCCTCCTCTCTGTAAAAAAAATCAATAAAATATGTATTTTTTTAAAAATGTTTAATGGCTCCTGCCATTTTCTAAATATGGGGACTAAACTATCTTTCCATCAGCTTCCCTTTCTTCCAAGCACCTCCCCCCACCATGACACACACACATTTCAGCTAAACAAAAATGCCCAATGTCCTCATAAGACCCCAAACTCTATATTTGACTCAGGGTTGCTTCTACCTAGATGGAACACCTTTCCCCTATTATCTTGCTTGAGCCTTTCCCCAAAATCCCGGTCCCCACCAAAAAAGAAAAAGCTGGAAATCTCTCTCTCCTCTGAATTTCCACAGCAATTTATCCTTTTTCCTTTTTTTCTGACTGCACATTTGCTATAAACCATGGTTATTTATATATGCTTTTCAAATGCTAAAACATATGTGTGTGCATATATTCCTTAAAGAAATATCCATGAGAAACTAAATTAATATTAATAATTGGATTTTTGACATGTCAACTGGAACATATTGTATTTATTCTCAAGAAAGAGCATGTTTCAGCCGAGACCAGTTTGGCTCAGTGGATAGAGCGTCAGGTTGGGGACTGAAGGGTCCCAGGTTCGATTCTGGTCAAGGGCAGGTACCTTGGTTGTGGGCAGCTGATCGATGACTCTCTCTCATCGATGTTTCTCTCTATCTCTCTCCCTTCCTCTCTGTACAAAATCAATAAAATTTATTTTTTTTAAAAAAGAAAGAGCATGTTTCATATTATTTATTCAAACTGCTTCAAATTGAAAGGACCAATAAAGAAAAACGTTTTCAACTATGAAAAATGGAAAGAGTATACGCTAAGTTGTCACTACTCTCTCCCCACCAAAATCACCTCTGGCCATAATTCTTTTTCACCTTTAAAAAATGTAATTACAAAACGATAAACATGAATTAAGCTTCTAAGTATAATGATAGACTACTAAAATGAAATTAAGCCAATTAAGAAGGCAATAAATGCAATTCATTAATGTATTAAATGCCCCTCTCCCCAATCCCCCTTCATAAACCCAATCCCATCAGCTTTAAGAATTCTCAACCTGCACAATCCTCCTTAGCTTCTCTCTATTGGGATTGGTCAGATAATTAATCCCCCTCAATTCTGAAATTCTCTCCTTCCTCAGTTTCTTTAAACTGAGTTCTAATTCTCTTCCCACCTTCCTGGCTCCTATTTACTCTGCCTCCCCTCACCATTATCATAGCCTTGCCCACGGTGGTGCACTCAGTCCTTTTGTTTTCTGCTTCCTCTTCATTCCAAGGTTTCAACTACCATCTACACAAAGGTGATTCCCCTAGCACACATACTCAGGCTAGCACCTGGCACTTCCACCAGACAACCCGCTGAGTATTTTCAGCGGGATAAAGCCCCGCTTCTCCTCACGTGACCACTATGGACTTTTCTTTCTTCTCTGCTTATATTCAATTCAGTCAGGTTGTCAGACCTTATCCATTCCTTAGCCTCAACTTCTCAGGATTCTATCTCCCTCCCCCGCCTTCTTTTATTCCCACTGTCACCGTTTACTCTCAGCTTCATATTTCCTTGTCCCAGGGGACAAAAATAACCTCTCAACTGGCCTTTCATTTTTCTGCCACTCCCACAACAAATGACTAGGAACCTTACTACAAGGGCTGGTGCCAAGTACTGAGGCAGACTAATCCTTCAAAGCACTGCTTTGATCCCGGCCTCAGCAAGCTCCAGCAGTTCCCAATATTCACTGTGCGCTAAAAAATTCACCCAAGCACCGTGATACACCTATTTGCTATATTCCCATCACTGAACATCATACCCATTTCCTAACAGATATTATAGCCCAAATAGAGGGTGTCTCCTCACCTTATTTTTTAAATATATTTTTATTGATTTTAGAGAGAGAAAGGGGAGGGGGGGCGCGCGCGCTAGCGCATGCAGAAACACTGATTGGCTGCCTCCTGTAAGCCCCCTACTGGGGATCCAGCCCAAAACCTGAGCATGTGCCCTCACCAGGAATCTAAATGGTGACCCATGGGGCATGGGAGGATACTCAGCCAAACTGAGCCACACCGGCCAGAGTCCTTACCTTATTTTGACTTAGGTGATCAGTAAGTATTCAACGAATAGGTTTTTTTTTGTTTTGTTTTTTGTTTTTTATATTTTTTTTTATTGATTTTGTAGAGAGGGAGGGAGAGAGATAGAGAGTTAGAAACCTCGATGAGGGAGAGTCATTGACCAGCTGCCTCTTGCACACCCCCTACTGGGGATATGCCCGCAACCAAGGTACATGCCCTTGACCGGAATCGAACCCGGGACCCTTCAGTCCCTAAGCTGACGCTCTATCCATTGAGCCAAACCGGTCTCGGCTCAACGAATAGTTTTGACCTGTTTTTTTCCCCCTTCTGTTTTGTCAGTATAAACACTCAGATCAGGAAAAAAACATCTTCTGTATTTCTAAGCAGAGATGACTATACTTAACTTTGAAACCCCAGTGGGGTTAGAAATAATTCCTCTGATAATCAGAATGAAACCAATGTTCTTAGAATGGCGTCTACTCAGAAGATTTTAAGGATTGTGATTAAAAAAAAAAAAAAAAAAAGGTGCTCCTGACTTTGCTGCAGGATCCGAGGTCAGAGACCAGTTGAATCTGAAGACAAACAAGGAGAAAAAAAAATCTAACAATTTGGGTGAACACATTAAAATTTGGCCCTAAAATGACAAGCCTTCTTAAAGCCTTATTTTTCCAAAGACCCTATTCGTGCTCAGATTAAAAGTTGCCAAAACACCCCCTGAATTTAGTTGTATTAATATTCTATGAACACTAAACCTTTCAATGCCTTTTCGTAAGATTAGAGCTTGATATTAGGAACTGCATACACTTTCTAACTAGTTTTTCTTAACTAAAGCAGTATAGCCTCCTTAATGAAATGTTGCTAATTAATGCACTCAATAATTTACCAAGCCATGTTCATTATATAACATTCTGTATATCATAATATATAACTCAACTCTTTGGACCACACTTTGATTTTGTAGTGAAATTTTAAAAAATAGTTTAGTAACTTCTGTTGAGATTATGGACAGAGATCCTATTTATATTTTTCCTCTAATGAAATATGTGCCTTTAGTTCAAGGTGTGATGGAGTGGAGTGTTTGAAGCACTTGG